GGCTACATTTACAGTCTTTTTTTACAATCAATTACACAACCCCCTCACATGGGGTATTCTGTGGGGCCCACCCCATGTGAGGGGGCTGTGTAATTGGCTGTAAAAAAAACTGTAAATGTAGCAAAGTTTTTATAACAATTTGAAAATAATAGAGAACAAACAAGTTTAATATATATCAAACAAGAGCTTAATATTAAAAAGATTTATTTAAAACTTACTGATTTAACCATGAGAATATTTAACTAATGTTTTAAAAAACTATTTTCATTGGATATCAAACAATACCTTAATCCATGTTTGATTCCACTAAAAATAGTAATTAAATTTAGATCAAAATCAACAATTAATTTTAATTAGGATCTATAACTTTTCAATCAGTCAATTCATTTCAAAATTTACTAAAAATTGATTTTTATCTAAATTAAACAGTGGCTTGCATACGAATAAAGTTTTTATTCTTTTGAAGGCGGTTGATTCTCAATAATCAGCATCTCCAGGGCCGTGGCAACCATTCGCCGCCTTCCGCCCAATGCCTATCCTTCTACGGCCTTTCCTCTTGCTCTCACTTCTCCTCATATTCTCCTCCTCCTTTTCTCAATCTCTCCCCTTCTCCAAATACCAAACAATCCTCTCCCTATCCCACTCCCTCGCCTCACGCGTCGCCACTCTCCGTGAGTCCCGTGGCGACCACGATGGTGCGTCTCGCGCCAGATCCATGGCCCATAATCTCGAGCGCGGTCTGGGCCTTGGGTTCTACAAGATCGCTTGGAACATGGGCTGGAACTACGTAAAGAATTACGCATGGAGGAATATGCTGTCGTTTGAAAATCTGGGCACCTTGTCGTCCGACATGACCGAGTTATTGGGTTCTCTTGCCGAGTTGACCCGGGTCAATTCGGACGCGGAGAGGGTAGCTTGGTTTGGACGAAATTACAATAAGGTCATTAGAGTTTCCAAGTCGCTCTTTGGCAGACTACTTGAAGTTTTTCGTCAGCCAGTAAGTGCTCCTCTCTCTTAAAAAAAAAAAAAAAATTCTAACTAATGACAATTTGACATTTGTGATTTTATGGGTTTTATGCAATTGGACATTATATGGTCATATTACTTTTAGCTATTTGGCAGTGTTTAATTTAAAATGTGGAAGGAAAAAAGGTATCATTTTTAGTTGTTTTCCCTAAAATATCCGCACCATTGTTTCCCATAAGTTGAATCTAGTCCTTTGTAATTGTTGAATTGAATACAAGAATAGTTTCTATTTTGTTGGTTCGAGTTTAGAAAAAGGGTCTTGGGGTACATCACCGCTTACACTATGCTCTTATAATCTGATTTGATGCAGGGTCCGTTGAGGGAAGTGGTAGAGACACTGCAGAAAGAAGTTGTGGAGGGTGACTTGGTAAGGGACTGCCTTGAGTTGGGTGGTAATGATCTAAATGATTTGATCCGATTGTTGAAGGACGTCGCTTTACAGTATACTACTGCTTCTTCCAGGTCTGATTTGTGACAAGATTGGTAGGAAATTCAAACGAGAGTGGTTTATTCTTGGATCACAATGTTCTTAGGTTCCTTTGATTGCAAGAGTGAAATTTGGATGGAAATAAAATGAATATTGAATTGTCTAGAATTGTTTTTCTGAGAATTGATGTTTGATTAGAATAGTTTTTTACTAAAAAATATTGAAATTTTGGATCTTTTGGTGTTCGTTTGACTTTGTTTCTAAGAAAATTGTCTAGAGGAAAAAAAATTTACAATTGTCCATAAAATTTGCTTTCATTGTAATAAAAAAAAAAATTGAAAATTATTTTCCCACCAAAGTGGTGGGAAAATCAATTCAACAAAAAATGGAAAAATGGGACACGTTGAGGATGGAAGGAAAATATTTTTCATGCAAAATTTTGACTATCAAACATGGAAAAAGTGATAAATGAAATTTCAATTTCATTTTCTATGAAAAAAGTGTCTATCAAACAGGTCCTTATAGTTTATAGTCATGTTACCCAAAATTACATATATCGTAAAAATAGAACTTTCATAAAAGATAATTATCCTCAAAGTTACAATAATTAAAAATAAAACACTTTCTTAATCATAATTTTTTTTTTCTATTTTTGCGATATATATTTAACGATTAAAATGGCAAGTTTTGGGTCGTTACAAATGGTATCAGAGTATGTCTACTTTTTTTGTAACTTTCTTTCAAAAAAATAAAAAATTGTGAGTTATTGTTCACATTAAAGTTTTATGGATAGAAATATGATTATGTTAAGATATATTTTCGAAAAAAAATTGCTGATTTAATGTTTCTCAGACTACTGCGAGACGCCAAGTTCCAAACTTTGATTTCCTCGAATCAGGTAAAAAAATATGACAATTCATAATTATTTAATATTACGTGGATAAGTATGAATATGCATGAGATTATGTTAGAATTATGCTTAATTATGAAATATGCTTAGCTACGTATAACTTTCACTTCATGTGTGTTATTTTCCACGCTAATCAATTTGTTATGCAATATAACAATCATGAAATTTCTAACAATAGTGACGTAGCAAAATATGTATATAAATTATGATTTTATGGATATATGTTAATTACAAAAATTCGTTATGGATATTTTAAGTTATAAGAATGAGAATTTTATGATATTATGTGATTTTAAGGCTAGTAATTACTTTATGAAACATATCAACTTATGAGAATAGTCGACCTTAGAAAATTTATAGATTAGATGGCACGGTCTAATTTGCAAAGCTATACCTTTAAATACTTTTTTTCCTATTTTATTTTTCGAGTTTTCTTGGTTTGCATATTCGCAAAATTGAAAGATTTTGTCAAAAAGGCTCGTATTTTTGAGATAATCCTCTATCACCACATTACTTTTCCCAACCAAGTGGATAATGGGTCTTCACCTAACAGAAACGATAGAAGTGTCTCTCTCACACTCCACATGATCAGGATCTCTTAACAGATAAAAGATTCCAGACATTTAATCACCTCTCACCCATGATCCAAATATCACACTCCGCATCCCGGTACAAACCACCAATGTACCCCTAATCCCCACTCTTAAAGGAATCTACGACAATTTTGGGTGTTAATCAAGTATCACTAACACACTTAATTACATTCTTAACATCTCTATATGAATCAGACATTGAATTAAGCAAGATAATGTTTTAGACACCTTCTCATCACAATTAATGATATCTTGAACATGTTTGTTAAAAATATTCAAATGTCATCAAGATCATTTGAAGGATCCATTTTAAAATTGAAAAACCTTTCAAGTAAGTACAACTTATTAGGAGTGAATTTAAGGAAATATAAGTCATCCACCTTTGTCAAAGTTCTTTTTTTAGAATCAAAATTTTCAATTTTTCTTAAAACGGTATCAGGTGTAAAATAATTGTAGTATAAGCAATTTTATCATATTTTTTTTCTTTTGTTCTTCTGTCAAATTTGCAGAAAATTTACCATCTATGGCTTTTGAAAATTTTTGTTGAACCAAAATCTCTTTCATCTTTTGTTACCAAATTGAAAAATTCCTTGGATAATGGTATTTTATACAGTTATTTGGAGGCCCAAAATATCGATATTTGGTAATTTTTTGACAAAATATATTTTAAATTGTTGTATTTTATGTTATATAGGTTAAATTTAATGGTTGAACAATGAATTGAGAAAAACAAAAGAAAATCAAGGAAAATGGAAAAGTCCAAAATTTGAGGATCAAATTGCAAATATTTAATAATTGATTCGGACCACAAGACGATACTTTAAAGATTACTATGAGGCAATTTGATGGAATTAGAACTCAAAAAAGGAATGTAATATGATCAAAATATTATCAAAATCAATTTCCAATCGTATAAATTATATTCTAAATTTTTAGTCGAAAATTGAGATTCATTTTTGGTATAGTAAATGCCCGAATTGGAAAAAATCCATTTTAAAAAAGTTGTAGGTCTTTGATTTAGTTTTCTAACACACTTTGAACCACCTCAATCGGATATCGGAAAAGAAAGTCTTAGTCAAGATACTGGCTGCTATGCATGGACAAAAAATTCGCACGCAAAGACAAATTTTTTATTGAAACTCTTTTGAAAACCAAATTGAATGTGATATTCAACTGATTTTCTACTTCTACAAATATCTAATAGCAGAATATATATTGGAGACCCCTCATATATGCATACTCTAATATTCATCAATTACTATCATCAAAAGATGAAAATTCATAATTTTTGTGAGAGAATTGAAAAGAACTTGTAAGAATTCAAAGTGGAGATTCAAATTTGATTTTTTTGGACAAAGAAGAGATTGTGCAAGTGGAGATTTATCAAGAAACCATTTAAAAGATTCTAGATTTCAAGATTTATCTTCATATTCTCAATTTATAACAAATTTGAGTTATATCTTTTCACTTAAATATGATTTCTTATAATTTCGATATATTATGCTAGTTTTATACATTGTCAGGATGAGATGACCCTTCTTGTGAGATTTTTAATATTAATTAATTATTTTGACCACAAGTTTTCTTGAATGTTTATTATTGTTTTCACCAACTTTTTAATTAATTAGCTACTAATCGAGATGATTTATTGGATTATTATCAAGAGAGATAATACGTTTTTAGTTAAAAAAAATAAATATTATAAAATTCGATAGATGATAGAGATATACCTCTATGTTTTACATGATTTTCATGGTGTTCTAGATCGTTTATTGCATTTATCATATTTACATCTTTCATCGAAAGATAAGAGGGTCATATGAGGTGAATATATTTGATAACTATTGAGAAATGTTTTCAATTAAATTAGGAACACTATCAACAAGAATGATTACAAAGTGTCACTTTAATTCTTTGTGCCAAAAATAGATTAATAAGGGGGATTCGACATGTTAACAATACTTTCACATATTTGAAATCAAACCAATTAAATTGCTTTCTAATTTAATTGATAATTTAGATATTAGTATAGAAAACTTAAAACATATTTGCTATTCGATTAATATTGCTATTAATTTGAACTCGATTGGATACTTAGTTCTCGTGAGTTCGACACTCTACACTCTACACACTACTATATTATTTGTTCACGATTCTGTTCACTTGCGAAAAACCAAACGATCACCCTTTCCCATTGAAAATTCCATTTTCGAAATGTGAAGACATTTTGAAAAGTAGAAAATCAAAGTGCACAAATAGATCAAACAAAGTAATTCTAAGGCCGCATTATATACATTATAGATTCTCAGGGTTTCTTAAGACTCAAGATCTCAGTATTAAGTGAATGTTACGAGTTAAGTTTAAGTATTCTAACACAATAATCAATGCAACACGAAGATATGTCAACAAAAATTCAATTTTTTACGCAATGCAGTCTCACACAGCAATTAAACAACAGTTAAAACACAAAAACAAATACCAACTTGCAGTTAAAATTCAACACTTTAAATATGACAAATAATTTCTAAATTTCTAGTACAAGCAATGTTACCCCCACACGGTAATCTCAATAACTATGTCACCCCATACGATGACTCGCTAATGCTCAAATTTAAATTTGGATAAACCAATATACTAGATCGGACTAATCTAAGTCTGTAAATATTGAGAAATACAAATTTATCACTTTATGGCCACCAATATTTGCACTAAAGTCTCTAGCAATTGCGACAACTAATTGAGCAAAAGTCGAATCTAGAATGCGCAGGGGGAAAATCGTCCAAATTTCACTGTAGCACTCACAACTAAAAACGAACACTATCGCAGGGTTCGTCTCGTTGTTCGGAGGAAACTGTCTGAAGAGAATGTCATCAGAGAACCCTCACGCGAGGTCGATGGAGTTCACGTGCCACTGCACCTTGGTCTACTGAACACGCATGTAGTCTCCGTTCATCCAATGTAAGTGGTTTGGCCAGAAAACATCAAAACAGATCTATAAGCCTTGATTTTCAATTGGACAGGTTCTGGAATCAATTTTGAGTTGAGTTATGCTATTTCATAGTCCGATTTTCACCCAAAAAATTCACATATTCTCACCAACCCAAGGCTCTGATACCATATGTAGCTGAATTGATCTCAAATTGGTGGGTTCCAGGCTCAATTTAAACTTACCAATCAATACTTCAACCCACAACTTGTATTCGCTTATGGTTGCTTTCTTCCTTTCTCACCCACAAAAGGACAAGGAAGACGAGAAGCAGCATGGCAAAAAGAAAAACAACAGAGGCAAAAGGCATAAAGAAGAAGACAGGAAGCAGCCAAGGTTTTTCTCTCAAAGCACAAAAACATGCACATTTGCAACGGTATGAAAGTTGATATATATATAGTGTAGGTTATATCATTCAATGGGCCAAGACATAAGAAAGTTATCCTATAAGTGATTTTGGATCAAGGCAACATTAACATATTAAGTTGCTATTAGTAGCCCATGTTGCTTTCGAGTCAAGCACATAAATTAATTGTACTGTTAATTATTTCACTTATCGATCGAGCCCTATGAAATATATTCTAAATTGTTTAATATCATTGCTCGAAATTTATTGGGTATCAACATAACCTGATATGGGTGAAAGTTCTGAAAGGTGTAGCTTCATAGATAACTGGTTTAGTTTATCAAAAGGATGTCTAAATCTCAACCATTTTCTGAGAAGTTAGCTTGAGGTGTGTACAGAGCAAGACTTGACATGGAGTTCAGTTATGCTTCATATCTTTTACGAGGATTCAGATCCGAACCTGTTCTATTGGAAATCATAGACATTAAGCCTGCTACCTGTATTGGCTTTTGGAATTCTTTCTCCAAATTTATGTACTAAAACCAAAATTCTCTTCTTTCTTATTCGGTACATATTCAATTTATGTATCAATAGCATGTGGGTGTGTGATCACAATCCTTAATAGGCAGATATCGTAGGCTGATATCGTGGGCATACAATTGGTATTTCCTATGTGAATTTATTTACCCTTGATACATTCCATGATTCTAGGACATGATTCCAGGAAAGAATCAATGGGAATATCATTCCCCTTGTAATGTGTATAGCCTAATCTTGCAGGCTATACATGCGTCCCTTGAGGGTAACATAGCACTACTTATCTCCTCGTGCAAGACCTCGGCTGAAGCATAGAACAAATTGGAGACTACCTTCGATAACCGATCAAACACCAGGATGCTAACTCTTCTCTCCACTCTTATGAAAACATCACAAGAAGATATCACAAGAGCTGAATATATGCAGAATATTAACACCAGTGATGCTGAGATCGTTTCACATACTCTCAACGGTCTTAGCAATGAGTACAAGGATTTGAATACAGCAATAAGGACTCGGGAGACAGCCATGACATTTGAAGAACTTCATGACAAACTCCTAGACCATGAGACATTTCTGAAACATGAAGAGGGAAAGAAGACAGCCCCACTCATCACAGCTCAGTACAATCAACATCGACCCAACAACAAGAACAGACCAAGGAATGGACACACAAACAATGGCATATGACCAAACAACAACTATAGGAATAAAACATTCCAAGGTAGTGCACAAGGCAACCAAAGTTATTGACCCTTTAATTCTTTCTCATCTGGGAATAATTTTGGCGACAATTACACCAATGTATTCCAGCTCACAACAATCTTCATGGAAACCAAACTCAAATTTTCCTGGATAATCCAAAATAGTGTATCAATTGTGTGATAAGATTGGTCACACCGCCCAGGTATGCCAATCTCGCCCCAAGCCTAATCATAATGCAAATTGGCCTCAAGCACACTTCACCGGTACTGATCAATCAATAAATCGAGGAAACTGGATAATGGACTCAGGCGCATCACATCATATTACCTCTGACCTGCAGAACTTATCAATCCACTTAGAATATGAAGCAATGAGGATGTCATGGACGGAGACGGTTACGGTATTCCAATATCTCATATTGGTTCTACTAAACTTAATTCTTCAAATATTTCATTTGCTCTCAATAATGTTCTGTGTGCCCCTTACATCAAGAAAAATTTACTGTCTGTTTCCCAATTTTGTAAACAAAATTCCACATTAATTGAATTCTTTCCTGATTTTTTTTTCTTGTGAAGGATTTGAATACGGGGGCATCCTTGGTTCGAGGCCAGAATAAAGACAAAATCTATAAGTGGCCGTTACCATCATCATCATCTTCTAGAGTCACCACTCCCACCGCCTACACTACCACTACAATGGCTTCAACTAATCTTTAGCACTATCGTCTTGGCCACCCATCTGCGTCTATCCAGCATAAAATTATCACCAATTCTTCTCTTCCAGTCTCTCAATCTACTACTAATATTGCTCCACACAATTGCTGATCTCTCAGGCCGCCATAGTAATCAACCAATGTGTTGAGTTACACCTTTAATTATTGATGTAATTTTTTTTGTCTTTCCATCAACAAAAATACTTGTCTACAGACAACGCATCTGTGTACACTTAACATACAGAACTAATTCACAAATGATACAAATATGAAGAATGATCTATAAGTTAATGATTTTTAAATAGAATTATGCTTTTGTACACTTGAGGTTGACAACATTTTTGACATCTTTCTTATGTGTAGGAACTCTAGCCATTGATTGAAAAAAAATATTGGTAAAGTCAATTTATAAAAACTTGTTGACTCACATGATGTCAAATTTTGATGTAAAACATGATATACATCTACATGATTGTCTTAAATAACATATAACCAAGTAGATTTTCAAAGTAAAAGTAGAAAAAAGTTCTTAATGAACTTTGAAATAAAAAATAAAAAAATCACCCCTATTGCTTATAGTGAAAAATTGAAAAATCAAAATCAAAATAACGAGGTTTGATATATGGTTTAGGTTCATAAATGACCCGCCCAAACAATTTGAACAAAAATTTCTCGTTTTAGCGAACGGTCACTTTTTCTTCAATATTCCTCTCCTTTTCTTTTGGAAACATTTTCGAAATGGTCTTTAATATATTGTTCAAGTAATGCTATGGTCCTTAACCTTATAATAAAAGCAAATCGATGTTTTATTTTTAATTATAGTTGCATAAACAATCATCAACTAGGAAATCATGCTAACATATATTAAATTATGACACGACCTTGACTAAAATATGTTTTGACTTCAAATATATTAGCGTCTTAGTCCAAGTTCAATAGTAGGATCTTGTTTCACAAAGTTAAACACGACACGATCTTGCAATGATTTAATGCGAATGTATACAGCTTGCGTAATTGATAACTAATTGTGCAATTATAAATCAGGGTTGAAGATCAACTTACGTCTTTTTTGAAGAATGAGGATCAACTTGCTAGTACTCCACTAGATTAGGAACCAGTGACGCAAATTTATCTTCTTTTTCTGCCTTTATTTTTGGACAGCTTAGTATCCGAACCAAAAATAACTCGACCGTTGAGCCCAAACCTAATTTCAAAAACCTTTATGTTCCCTCACTCCCCACACCACTACCCCAACCCTCCACCCATAAACCCGTTTTCCTCTTGAAAATTATCTGGTGTTTTCAGCAGATTTCGTCTTTTGATAAGAAATGGTGTCCAAAATTGCGAAGAGAACCCCCACAAAATCCATCAAGAACAGGAGAAACATCGCCCAGCAGTGCCGCCGTGGCCGGAAGAAGTCTCCGATCAAGAATGCCTCTGCCACGGCCTCCGCGGTGGTTGCTTCCATCAACAAGTCCATTTATACTTGCCAACGCCGCCTTATCAAGATTTTCACAAAATTAGCTCGCATTGCCACCCCGAAGAAGACCCCACATAAGAAAGGGTACCAATTCCTTCAAAAAGTCCATGCGGACCCGCCAAATTCTACCCGCAGATCACTGTTTCATGAAAAGATTCCTCTACCTCCGTTGCTTTCGCCTGAGAAGAAGACTATTTTTCTCGACTTAGACGAAACCTTGGTGCATTCCAAGCCAAACCCACCTCCTGAGAAGTACGATTTCATTGTTAGGCCAGTGCTTGATGGAGAAAAGGTCGAATTCTATGTGTTGAAGAGGCCATTTGTAGATGAATTTTTGGAATTTTTGAGCCAGAGATTTGAGATCGTGGTGTTCACTGCTGGAATTGAGGAGTATGCCTCGCTCGTGCTCGATAGGTTGGACTGGAGATCCCGGATATCATATCGACTGTACCGGGATTCGTGCAAAGAAGTTGATGGGAAATTTGTGAAGGATTTGTCTGAGATTGGGAGGGATCTCGGGAGGGTGGCCATCGTTGATGACAATCCGAATTCATACATGTTTCAGACGGATAATGCCATTCCTATTCGACCCTTTGTCGATGATCTAGGAGATGGAGAATTGAAGAAGTTGATTAAATTCTTTGAAGGACGCGATTCAATTGAGGACATGAGGGATGTTGTGAAGGTTTATCTTGCTGATCAAGAAGGGGAAAAGAAGGTGGAAGTTTAGTATCAGCTATTTATTTATTTTTTCTCCATTTTGTTGTTATGTTCATTTTTTAGTTTTCTTTTCTAACCAGCCTGTGTACAATTTTGAACATACTGTGTTCAATTTGAAATCAGAAAGGAAACTGGGCATATCAAGTATACAAAATTTGGAACAACTATTTTTAGTACCTCTATGGCTCTATCATTTTTGGATTTCCCTCGACATACTTCAAATAACAATGAGAGAAACATCCGAGCATATTTGGTACGTAACATAATACTGAATACAAGAAAACAATACAGTGCAGTAGGCCCGCACATAAGTGCCTATGAAGGAGAAGCCTCATTTAGCATCTTTACTTTGTGGGTTCCCAAGCTGGTATGCCTTATCCTATTAACAATGCAAAACTGGGATTTGGTCCCAGTAATATGGCTAGGTCAGTATTTTTAACCTTTTTTCTTTCTTAACATTGTTGAATACTATTTAATCTACATTAATAGAACATGCTATGAGTTTCATTTGTTAGCTTGAAACTTGAGAGTTGGGTTCAGTAGATGAAATGCATATTTATCTGTGCTTTACTGGCTGCCGTCAATGTTGGAAAACTCCCAATATCTCTACTACTTGGCTAGGATATAGCTAATCTTGTTTATCTAATAAGAATGTCCCTTGGTTTTCCTCGGGTGCCAACTGTGGAGAGGAATGCAACCAACTAGGGAACGAATCTACATCAAGTGCAAGTTTACATATATGTAGTATTGAATAGCACTTGATAATACAATTAAAAAGATTTTAGCTTCTTTATTCTTTCATAGTCGTTTGATCCTCTAAGTACAATGCAAAAACCTATATGAAATACACAATACAGTGTAAAAAAAGATCAACTGCAAGTACATCTGCTTGTCTAAGAGATCGATAAAGACAATGCATAAACCAATGATTTTTGAGTCTCATATGGCTTTCACACCGTCTTGTTTGAGGTGCTCAGAAAATTTCAGAACAGAGAAATGGCAAAATGCAGTAATAGATTGACCAACCATTCTACCAATTTTTTCTGAAAAACTTAAATGGAAAAAAAAGATATTGACAGCTCCTTGAATGGGAAAGGACTCGCCAAATGCATCTATTACTTAAAAGGAAGAGAAAACCCCAAGAAGGATAAAGAATCCTTCCCAATTCAAACTAAAGAAGATCCTTCAATCACAGTCGAGGAGAATGTTGCACCACAATGTTCATGATCACACGACCTATGCATCACATTATACCATAACTTTTATACATAACAGTTAACCGTATGTCAAAAACATGGCTTATCAATCACAAACCAGAGAAAAATTCCAAAGCATCCATTCAGTGCCTCTTGTTCAAAATATACCTTGTACCAATTGTCAGAAGATATTCTGCCATAATCAGAAGTTTGCAACTTCTCAATTTGAACCAACAACATTAAACCTCCGAAAACAAGGAAATCTTCATCCCCTAAAACCCATAAGCTAATCTTATAACATCATAATCAACCACTTCAAATTAACAAGAAAATCATGTATTAACTATCACCAGAACATATAAGCTAATCCAAAGGCAGTCTTCCCAATTGAAAGCCCCCTCATTATCTTGATCGTGTAGCACAGTTCATTTTTTCTCCCCTCAGCTAGAATTTCACTAAAAACACAGCATACATAGCTCAGACATATGATATTCAACGCTATAAATTACCAAATTCGAACTAAATTTCATGAATATAACAATAAATCCATCAACAAGTATTATCAGTACATCCACTGCAAGACTCAATGCACTCATAAAGTTCAAAAATTGTAAAAGAAAAGGGGGAAGTTTAGACTGTAGTTCTACGTATAGAAAGGATTATAAAATGGACTATCAAAATCGTACTTAAAAATCCATTTTCTATCGAGTTTCGACATCATTCCACAAAAATTACAAATGAACTCATAAAGTTCAAAAATAAGAAAAAAGAACTGGCCCATGAATAGGCCATCCTGTACAATACTTCTGTCTAATGAACATTGTTGTATGATCTCACGTAGTTAGGAAAACCCCAAAGAAATACATTGGGTATTAGTTTTTCTTCCGAGTTATTGAATTTAATAAATTAACTTTTTATAAGTAAATAAGTTATAAAGAGCTTCAATTGATCACAAGTTAGCAATAGGGGTGGATTAGTAGAAAGCAAGGATTTTCGAGACATCCCCTTTTCAGATAAAAATCGACCACAATAGTAGCCCAGCTCAAAACAAACCCGTGTATTCACCCGGAGGGACCAAGGGGCAATAGTCCTTTAACTTGTTAAAAAATCTATGATTTTTATCATCCATAGTACATTCCAATTACAAAAATCATTGCACCACAACAATCAACATAAGTGTTCAGTTCTACAAAGAAACAGAATCAAAAGAATTGAAACACTAATATGAACTGAGCAGATGCCATTACGTTAGCTAATTATAGTATTATACTTCGTTTGTTGATTCTTTTTAACATGAACAAAAGAAGAATAAATAGACAGAAGGGGAGGGGGGGAGGAGCTTTTTTCCTACACAATTAGAATAGGCTCCCCAAAATTACACCCTACCAAAACAAATCGAGACCTGTTTATATTTTTCATTTTTCATGTTTTTGGATTTTCCTTTCTTTGCAATCAATAAAAAAGAGTAAACAATCTATCTGGTGCTTGAGTTCCCAAGAGTGAGCTCAAGATCATCGGGAACGCATTCGTCATGGATTATCTCTCCTTCCCACGGTTTCACTAGTCCCCTTGTGTTACTGCCAAATGCAAACTCGGCCGCAATTGCATCTGACATGGGAACATCAGCAGTTTGGTCAATGCCCGCTGGAACAGCAGGAGAGCATGTCCCACTTTGCCCCGGGGTCCACATACGAGACCCCCCATTCGAAAATGGCTCCCTAAGGCCAAATGGATTTGCTGAGACCAGGCTGAATGTAGGAGAAGAAGGTCCATCATTGGGAGTTTGCACACCAGAAAGCCATCCAGAATCAGGCGGAGTTCGACGACCTGGACTTGGTGGAGAAGAAGAGGGTAGGAATGGATAGTGTTGGCCTCCCCAGGCTGAATCAACAGTCAGATTATCCCAGTTGGCCTTCATTCTAGGCGTACGAGCAGTAGGCGAGCTCAATGGTGGGGTGACAGGAGCACTAATAGAACCTCCAGGGATGCATATGTGCCGTAGCTTGAATGGAGGGGGTGAGGAGCCAGAAGACAAATTTTTAAGCCATGGGACAAGGGAATTAGGATCAGCAGTGTTAATGATATTACTAGCATAATGTGATGAGACTGGGCTCGGAAAAGAAGATGACGAGGGGCTCGGATTGAAAGATGCTCCTGGGCTTGGTTGGTATGATGAGAAAGGGCTTACTGTTGCTGAAGCACCCATGGTATTCGTATGTTCCACAGGCTTGCATCCCTGAGAAAGATGGTACATCATTAACAGCTAGAAGAACATTAAACATCCAATGGTTTTGCAAACACAAGAAATATGTAAAGATTCACAAGTACAGCAAAAAATCAGGTGATCTTAACAATTGTGCATCATGATCGAGCAATATAAAGATGAGCATGCCCCATCATCAATAAGTATTACACTCAGTTTTCTCGACCTCAACAATTTGTAAAAAACATCAAGTTGCTGTAACTATGGTATCATTGAATCTCACACAGAGAGATGCACAGAATTGGTCCCCTGTTGTAAACCATGTCATAGCTATCATAAGATCAACCGTTTCTAAACTAATACAATTATTTCAATTGTTCAGCCATTATATTCAGCAGAAGAGTTACTTTCCCACCCAAATACTTAAAAAAGAAGCCCCAGGAAAACCTTTAAGATGTCAAGTGGAATTGTAGAAGAAAAGCATGTGTATGCAATATTGACCACTTATCGCATTCTATTTCCAAAAGATAGTATACAGACTCTTCCATGCTACCACGTGTTCTAGACTTAGAATCAATCATAAGCACTGATCCCTTGTTCAGTTTAATCTTGGTTGCATAGAGCCGTAGGCCCTTGATGTTCATCTTAACACACGGGTGCATTAGTCACAACTGCTGTTAGCAAAGGAATACTAACGACTGTCTCAACTGTCCAATAATAACTGTGTTGGCACTCAAGTAAGTTGAGACTCATCTCCTTGTACTTAAAAAATGAAGGTGATTCTAGCAACCACATTTGTCCTAGAGATTTTGAAATACTCTGAATCATCACTTTTCATCAAATAAAGTTTGAAAAGCATTGTTATGCATCTAAAAGTTGTTAGATTTAGAAAAAGACACGAAGGTCCAATTCAATGTGTACTGACAATCACGTAACAAGAAACATAATCTAATATCATCACCTACAAAGAGAGTGAGAACCACAATAGGTTGGTAGGTACAATCCCTCAATAAGTGTATCCACGCATGTCGAATTTGATGATCCCTCCACCTCTTACATAATCATTGGGAGATGAACCAAAAATTGGACACAAAACCACATTCACTTAGCCATAGATCCATAGAATTATATTACCATGAAAATAGCAATTATTCCTATTCTCTCCCATAATCGATTCTAAGATTATCCGGCTGCATCACAAAAAGCTTGTTACAGATCTACTCAACACTATTATTCGTAACATGTCACGCGATCTCAACAGATTTAACATCTACATCCACCATATTTTAATCATACAGCATAGAAAATGGTATAATGATGATTTAAAAAGTGAAAAAAAAAAAAAAAAAAAAACAACATGGCCCACAATGGAGAATCCAATGCCACCTCATACTCAAATCACTCATGCTTCACTAAAGGTCAATAAAGAGAGATTATAACCTCCGAAATCTCAGGCAATCACTAATTTGACCAAAAAGATTGAACAGCTTTACATTTACGAAACAGTAATTTTAACTTTTGAGAAAGTAATATACAAGTTCCTGGACAACTCAATTGTTGTACCGTGCGCCATAAAGAAATGTGCACACTTTAAATGAATAGGTAACTATGGGATTTGAATTCAGGTATTTTTTCGGGTTATGATTTAAATTTAGGCAATGAGCTGTTTCGTTATGATGATAATATTTTGTGGTTTGCACGCATTAGCCACCGTTTGGTTTTGCTTAACATCATTTTGATAAACGTCCATGAATTTTGTGATTGAAAAGTCGATTAAAATTAATTGTGACTTCCACTTCAACTGCCCACTGCTAGCGTGCACCAGATGCACACAGCGGACATTAGCTCTCAGTCCCCAAAAAGCGAACAGCTTGAGCAGTGCACCGAAGCACCTGCCTGTCGGATCAGCAGCTTACAACGCGCTAACATATGCCAGACGCATCCAGCGCATTTTAGCACGCAACCACGTCTCAAAACTCAGAATCTCTAATGATTACGAAGTAAAAAAAAAAAATTCTTAATAACTTTTCAATTAAATTCAGAAAATTTTTAAGAAACTCTCGACCGAAATATGAAAAAAAGATTGATTAGAAATTGCACAATCGGAGGAATTGAATTTGAAAAGTACCTTTCTATAAGTTGTTCCATCCTCTTCAACGATCCAACCAGCTTCATTACACAGAGCTTTGAGAACCTCGTTGTTATCACAGTGTTTGGGGAGCTTGTAATTACCGTACATCCTCAAGCCAGCGAAGATCTTGGCGGCGATTGCCCTCCGGCGCCGCTCCCTCCGCTTGTTGTTCTCCCTCTCCTTCCATGTCGGCAGTCTCGTCCCCGACGTCATCGATGCAGCTTCGTCCAACCCTCTGCACCGGAAACTAAATCGAACCGGACAGGAATAAAAAGGAACCGGATTGCGTGAACGGGCTTCAATTGGGATTAGTAAGGGAGACTTGATATGGAAAGGAAAGAAGGGTCGTGGCTAAATCCTAAAGCTAGATTCGTGGCAGGACGGTTTTGCCACTAAAAAGAATATAAATTACGAGGCTGCCGCTGATTTTGTCTTCTTTATTTTTCTAAATATTCCGCGTTTTTTTATGTCCTAAAAATGCGGGTCGGTGCACGTGTTTAGTAATAATTCTGTTCTGTATATTTTATGGATATTATCAAGAAAAAAATATATTTTAAATAGTGATGTGATGAAAAATATTATTTTATTAAAAAATGTGTAGTTAAAAATGAGTTTAGAAAAAATGTGTACGGGCTTAAGAAATAATTTATTTATTTTTGTCTTACTCACTCCTAAATTATTGAGTTTGATCCTCAAGTGTCCCATGTCTGTTTTATGTGCAAACAATTGCATCTGATTTCGACATTGTATGTTGGTGAGTTAAGGATTTCATAAGACAAGGAAAAAAAAAAGTAATTAAAATACAAATTCATGAGATTTTTGTTTATAACTTGATTTCAGGATGCTTATAACTTCATCATCTTGTAAAATATTTGTTGATATGTACTACATAAAAAATCACTATGTAGAAATGTCTTAAAAGTTTTGGAACTATACTTTGAGAATTTTTACTATAAATTCGAACTACGACCTCTATCTTTTTTTGAATCAATATGAGGTCGATGTTTAAAATATTCATAGAATTTTGATATTTGGAAACATGTATGCATATTGACATTTCATTCCAACCTATACTATTGAGCTATGGCAATCTAAAAAGGCGTTGACAAATCCAAGCCACACGGTTTGCTTGCACCCCACACATAGAAAACTAAATATTCGAGATAACTACCAAAGCACTAACGTCACAAAACCGGACCATAGGGTAATAAATTACAAAAAAGTTGTGCGTACAGAAAAAAATAACATGAATTCACACCGGAATTCTTCATGTACCTGTAGTATGTCTCAATAAATTAAGATTAAAATTTAACATAAAATGGTTGCTAACGACATGTCCAACGCATGCGACGATAATCCATTATGAGCTCTCTAATTTTATTAAGGGGCTCTTTGGAGCCAATTTTCATAAGGGATTTTTTTACCGTTAGAGTGTAAGGTGTGTCCCACGCGTGAGTGAAATGGTCAAAAATGACTATTATTTTCCATTGTAACAGTTAGAAAAATGATTTTTTGGCATAAAAATCAGCACCGGACAGCCCCTAAAACTCAATTCTACCAAATTTTTCAATTTATGCAAAAAATTTCGAACAAATTTTTTGATTACTAGTATAATAGGTAAATGAGTGAATTAATCTCCATTTGGCAAACAAATTTATAAATTGTTAATAAATTTAGTCAATATTAAACATTAATTTCAACTATATAATCTATTCATTATTATCCACGCCTACATATTTTGTTGGATTCACTTCTATTTATCTTAATGAATCAATTATAAACTTGTCACAATGAGTCTATTGACTTCAAAGTTTATGGTCTTTATACCGTCAACAAAAATTTGGACACGAAATCAAGGCATATCTCAGGCAGTAAGATCAAATGATTACTGTTTGTAAATAAACTAAAAATAATAAGACACATTTTTTGTACTCGCAATATTTCATTGCATCACGGAGTTATTTCCATCAACAAACCAACAAGAGTGAGAATTTTGGGTGAAGAAACTAGTTGAAATTTCTCATAAGTCCTCTTCGCATCACTGGGATTGATTGGAAGATCGAATAAAGGTACAACACATGGAGTCACATTTCCTATTTGATTCAAGTCTTCGAGATCTCTACCTTATAAACGGGGCTCTAGCGTTGAACTTAACATGAAAAAATAAAGATGGGCTAGTTTAAGAGTTCGAGGAGTACTAATAATGCAAATGTTGTAATTAATAGAATAACATTTATGTTCTCATATAAAAGAAAAATAACAAATTCTAATTACTTAATATAAAATAAATGCCTACTTATAACCTAATAATAGGGTTCTTAAACTATCTCTTGTTCAAATTTTGATTTTATATAAAATAACTTCTTCCATAGTTCTTATCACATTCCTCATATGCAAATTAGTGTTCTTAAAAAATAAAAAAATAAAAAGGGAAAGAAAAAGGAGTAAATGAGGACAATATCTAACCATCCAATCCTCTCCACGTTCTTTAACAGTATTCATTACAAGGAACGTGTTTGGTTGAGCTTATAAGTAAATATTCTTTCTTGTCTTACTTATAGGTAAATCTTCGAGTAAAACAACATTTAATGTCAAAATAAGTAATTATTTTGAGTAAAAACACACTTATTTACCTTTGATCTTATTTCCGTCTCCGCTTGACACTCATTTTTATCAAAATTCATTTTTTAAAAATTCATTTCTCACAAAATAATTTTATGCGTAATCCAATTTTTTTTTCTATTTTTTAATCACACATTTTCTAGAAAATCATTATTCCAAAATATATTTTTAATCACCCTCATGTTGGACTCGTTACAACTAGAGATAGTATTTTAAAAACTCGTCTAGAGATTGAAGCATTTACAAATATTGAGCCAATTAAATTTTTCGAGTCCTATAATAGGCCAAATTCATAACATTCTCCATTTTTTTAGTTGAATCATATGATCTAATTCGGTTTTATACTATTGCTAAAATTACGATTTCAGAAAAATAAAAGAGAGAGAGTAAGGTCTGATCCTTTTAGGATTCATATGTAACTAACCACAAANTAAAAGTAAAATCACAATAAACTAAAATTATAGTCATATAATTTCAAAGATAACTTAGATAGTTTCCATGTTCAAGAATCAAGAACACGCAGCTATGTAACTAAAATCACAGAAGTTTGAAAATAGAAATAATCCATAAGTCACAAAAAATCACAAATTTGGGGATTTTTCAAGAATCGAGATGATAAACTATGTTTAGTAATAACTTAGACGGTTTTCATGTTCAAGAACACGCAACTATGTAACTAAAATAAAAAAAAAAAAAAAAAAAATCACAGAACTAACCCACAGGTCACAAAAAATCATGCAATCTTACAACGAAATTGAAGGCTATTAGTTATGACTGACCGTATACTACTGACTATTTGAGGAAAATTCAGGAGCGAGAGAGAAATGGAAGGTTAGAGATTAGGGTTGTGCTTGTGAAAGTTTGAGTTCTTTTTTTTTTAATTAGGATAGCGGGCGAGGTTAGGATTCGAAAATCGTAAGAACTAATAGGAAATTAGAAATTGAAGAAAATACCAACAAAATGACAAAATTATTGAATTCACAAAATTGGAATTTTGGATAAATTTTCAAAAAATTCAATTTTTTATTTTTAAATGTACAAAATTAGAATTTTGGATAAATTTTCAAAAAAAAAATCAATTTTTATTTTTTATTTATATATTTTTTCGCCGGCCCGATTTGGTTTTAAACCGTAATTAAAATTCTCAAATATAAACCAAACTGTTTTTGGTTCAAAACCATTTCGTTCACGGGTTCACGTGGAATCAAACCGTCGGTTTCGAAATTACGATTTCGATTCGATTTGACGATTTTTACTTACAGCGCTAGTTGATTGTCTCCAAATGTGAGAACCCAACATTGAATTCTCAACGAGTGGGCATTATAATATTTCTCTCCATGGCCAAAAGAACAGATCTAATCTAAGCAATGTACTTATGCATAATCGTATCAGTGTAAAATCTTTTAATTGTTTATTAACATTCTGGAAGTCTCGCTTCCTACGCACCTCTCCATTTCCGATATAAATTCAAACCGGAATGTACCAACAAAGAGACAATAGTTGCAGACCCTGAAAATTTTCCGGCGGTATTTATTTTATCTCTATGAGATGTATCTGCGTGCATGTGTGAAACGTGTTTGTATTATATTTAATGTTTTTGCTTGAAGATTGTAGGTTTTCTCCATTTTGCAATTTTTCTAATAAAAGAATTGGATTTTGAGGTGGGAGAGTTGGGAACTTATTGGAATTGAAGGGATTTTGGTGAAAAGTAAGAATCGGGTTTGACACAACATCTACGACTTACGAATTAAGCCTCGTTTCAATAAATTTGGCGTCGGTCAGAATTTCGAAAAGAAGAGAGATAAGAATTTTCTTTTTTTGGGTTTCTGAATTAAACTGTGTTAACTTGGATCACATTACGGTTTTCAAATTGATGGAGGTCTTATGGGGAAACATTTCATCTTGATCGAAATTTGATGGGAATTCAATCTCATTTAGTTGATTTCAGTTCATCTTGTTGATGTTTATTATTTTGAGGCCAAAAGTTTTTAGGGCTTGTGATTGGGTAATAAATTCACACTATGGATGAAACTCTAAGCAGTTCGAGTTCATTGCCACCTTTCCTTACAAAGACGTATGAGATGGTGGATGATCCTTCCACGGACTCTGTTGTGTCGTGGAGTCAGAGTAATAACAAAAGCTTTGTCGTATTGAACCCTCTTGAATTTGCACGGGATCTTCTGCCGAGGTTCTTTAAGCACAATAACTTCTCCATATGTAAGCATTTTTTCTCCGTTAAGTGTGAAATTTATACTTGATATGTATTTACAATAAGTGCATGTTTGGTATATAATACGAGACTGTATATCAAGCAAGATTCTAACTTTTTTTTTCCCGAATACTGTCGTGTACTTTTGTATGTTAATATTCCTTTCCTGCTGAACAGGGATTCAGGAAAATCGATCCTGAACAATGGGAATTTTCTAATGAGGATTTTGTTAGAGGTCGGCCACGCCTTATGAAGAATATTCATAGACGTAAGCCGGTTCACAGCCATTCTGCACCAAATCTTGCTTCTCTACCTCCGCTAACTGAATCAGAAAGGAAAGGCTATAAGGATGATATCAAGAGGCTAAAGCGTGATAAAGAAGTACTGAATTTGGAACTACAAAAACATAAAATTGAGCAACAAGGACTTGACAGGCAAATGCGAGGTTTGATGGAATGCGTGCAAAATATGGAGCTGCAGCACAAGAATATGTTATCTTCCATGGGTCGAACCTTGCAGAAACCCGAACTTGCTTTAAATCTGGCACCCCAAGTTGAAATTGACGATAGAAAGAGAAGGCTTCAAAGAAGCAGGTACTTGTATGGTCAAGCCAGCATAGAAAAATCTGGAAAAAAATCTGATTCAATTTCCTTTTTAAATTCAAATGATGAATTATTGGAGCAACTGGAGTTTTCACTTATGTTTTGGGAGAACCTAGTACTTGATGTCGGTCGAGGCTTAGATCAGTCTAATTCATTGCGGGGTTTGGACGAATCTACAGAGTGTACAAATAGCCCCTCTGTACTAAATGTTGATGTTTGGTCGAAGATTTCTGGGACTGATGTGAATGCTGAGCTGAAAACCAGCAATTTTCTGGAAGTTTCTCTTGAGACAACCACCAATGTGCGAACGGGGGTTAATGATGTATTCTGGGAGCAGTTTCTTATGGAAAATCCTGGTTCTACTGAAGGTACGGGTGACAGTAAAAATGAACAACAACCAGTTCATCCCAGGAAACAATGGTGTAATGCGAGGAGCGTGAATAATCTTGTTGAACAGTCGGGACATCTATCCCCCACAGAAAGAACTTGACATTAGTAGGTTCTGTGCTTATTCTTTTGCTGATTGTGCATTTTGCTTCCAAGGTAGGTTGTATATATAGAGTTGCTTCAATATGGCAGTAGATAAGATTTCATATACCGGTTGCACCATTCTTGTGTGTTATAAGAATTTCACAAATTTTGTTGTGTTTGTTCATATGTGATCATTACCGGGTAGTCTCGTTTTTTATGTTTGAGACGTATGGTCTTTTAGTAACCGAGTGCGTGATGCATTGCTTGATAAATTGCCTTGAGAGTGTATGTTCCAAGTGCTATATGTTTAATTCAACTACAAGGATGAGACATGATTGGACACTATGTCTATCTTCTTTATTCGTGTTCAAACAACTAGCGTATCAAATGCACTTTAAAAGTTGATTGCTCTGTAACTTCACCAATATGATGCAAAGATATGATAGTGATGGAAATGAGAATATTCGTCATATATCACTACTTATATTTGTTTGGTAGTCGAATAAATTGGATATATACACGTGCTAATTTTCATTTGCACATCTAAGGAATCTTCTAAAAAATAAAAAATGTATATTTGCTTCGTGTTATTTTTATATTTTTGACAATTAAAAAGCTTACAATATCCATGTCTCTCAGTATTTTCTTAGAATTTGTGTTGTAGCGAGGAAAATTAGAAAAAAAGAGACAATTTTTTCATGTAAATATGTGATGCAATTTTGGTAAATATCATTTGCCTTAGCTAAATTTCAATTGGATTTTCGTTTGTCCCAATTGAACTTCAATTTAGTTTCAGCATCATTGCTTCATCACTGTTCACGATTTGATTTGTGAGGAAATTCATCAGCTTGTTTTATCTTCACACTCGACTCACGAGGCTGTGTAGGATGTTTTCGACAATAAACTTGATAGGTAGGGACGTTGCGCACCAAAAAATCGAACGTAGGGATGTTTTCCACACAACCCTTCAAAGGTAGGGACGTTTTGCGCCAATAACCCTTTAGAAAATAATATATTTTAAACGGTGATGTGATGGAAAATATGTTGTTAAAAAGTAAGGAAAATGATTTTATTAAAAAATGTGTGATTGAAAATGAGTTTTGAAATAATGTATTTTGAAAAAATGTGCACCAAACAAGGGCTTAAAAAATAATTTATTTATTTTTGTCTTACTCACTCCTAAATTATTGAGTTTGATCCTCAAGTGTCCCATGTCTGTTTTATGTGCAAACAAGTGCATCTAATTTCGACATTGTATGTTGGTGAGTAGGGGCGGACCCAGCATCTGGCCAGCCCCTGCGGTCGCCCGTGCTGGATCCGCCGGGAGCTTGAGTGAAGAAGACGCCGCCGTCCGCCTGAAAATGGAGAAGAAGCCCGTGAAATTCTATGTTTTTTCCTTTGTTATTGTTTGACAGTTTGGGCTTATTTTTAAAAAAAGCCCCAAATGAATGGGCCCAATCAATTAACAAAACCATTAGCCACAACCTACAAGTCCACACCCAATTCCAAAATTGAAAACGGCGAAAGGAGAGGGATACTGGGACTAAGACCGAGAGACGACAACTTCGCGTCTGCAAGGCTGCGGACTTGCTGGATGCTGCTCCGACGTCCGATTGATGAGACTGTGGTGGTTTGGTGGTGGACGGTGGACGCCTGAAAGGCTGAACTGACTCGGTGTTGGAGTCTACTGTCGGTGAACGGTAAGCGAGTCAGTTCTTTGTTTCTCTTTTTTTTTTGTTCTTTTTTTTTAGTTTTTGTGAATTATGTATTGTTAGAAATGAGATTTGTGTTGTATACTTGTATTATTGATTTATTGTCTGAGAGAGTCAGAGACTGAGACTATGAGTAATTTTGATTTGTGATTTGTGAATCGTGATTTGGGAATTTAGGTTTTTAGGAAATTAGGAATAAGTGAAAAAAAATTAATGAAGAAGATTTTGAGCTCAATTAAACCATGTGTAGACTGTTTTTTAATTAATTTTAATTGAAAAATAAATTGGGGCATTTTGAAGATTATGGAACGATTTTTTCTACCGAAACGAAAGTCCATACCTAGTTCTTCTTTTTCTAGTTGTCCATCTGGTCCCGATTTTTTCAACCGATTTTTAACATTATTTAATTAAATATTAATAAACGATCTCATTCTTACGATTGCTGATTGTCGACGTTGACCGGTCAATGTCCGCCCGAGCTGAGCTTCAATGTTGGGTCCGCCACTGTTGGTGAGTTAAGGATTTCATAAGACAAGAAAAAAAATGGGGGAATTTTGAATATCAAATATCACACGCAAAACAAATTAAAAGTTTTGGAACTATACTTCGATAATTTTTACTATAAATTCGAACTATGACCTCTATCTTTTTTGAATCAATCAATATGAGGTCGAAAATTAAAATATTCATAGAATTTTGTTATTTGGCAACGTATATGACTATATGCATATTGACATTTCATTCCAATCTATACTATTGAGCTATGGCAATCTAAAAAGGCGTCGACAAATCCAAGCCACACGGTTTGCTTGCACCCCACGCATAGAACACTAAATATTCGAGATAACTACCAAAGCACTAACGTCACAAAACCGGACCATAGGGTAATAAATTAAGATTAAAATTTAACATAAAAAAAAAAAAAAAAACGACATGTCCGACGCGTGCAGCGATAATCCATTATGAGCTCTCTAATTTTATTAAAACTCAATTCTACCAAGTTTTTCAATTTATGCAATAACGTTGTTTGAGTTTGTTTATGAATAAGTAAAAGTTTTTTTCCGAACAAATTTTTTGATTACTAGTATAATAGGTAAATGAGTGAATTAATCTCTATTTAGCAAACAAATTTATAAATTGTTAATAAATTTAGTCAATATTAAACATTAATTTCAACTATATAGTCTACTATTCATTATTATCCAAGCACACATATTTTGTTGGATTCACTCCTAGTTATCTTAATGAATCATTTATAAACTCGTCAAAAGGAGTCTTATTGATTTCAAAGCTTATAGACTTTATACCGTCAACAAAAATTTGGACACGAAATCAAGGCATATCTCAAGCAGTAAGATCAAATGATTACCGTGTTTGTAAATAAACTAAAAATAATAAAAATCTTTGGACGCATATTTTGCACTCGCAATACTTCATTGCATCATAGAGTTTTTTCCATCAATAAACGAATAAGATCGAATAAAGGTACAACACATGGAGTCGCATTGATTCAAGTCTTCAAGATCTCTACCTTATAAACGGGGCTCTAGCGTTGAACTTAACATGAAAAAATAAAGATGGGCTAGGAGTACTAATAATGCAAATGTTGTAATTAAAAGAAAAATAACAAATTCTAATTACTTAATATAAAATAAATGCCTACTTATAACCTAATAATAGGGTTCTTAAACTATCTCTTGTTCAAATTTTGATTTTATATAAAATAACTTCTTCCATAGTTCTTATCACATTCCTCATATGCAAATTAGTGTTCTTAAAAAAATAAATAAATAAAAAGGGCAAGAAAAAGGAGTAAATGGGGACAATATCTAACCATCCAATCTTCTCCACGTGCTTTAACAGTATTCAATTATCAATAATACAAGGAACTTGTTTGGTTTAGCTTATAAGTAAATATTCTTTCTTGTCTTACTTATAGGTAAATCTTCGAGTAAAACAACATTTATTGTCAAAATAAGTAATTATTTTGAGTAAAAACACACTTATTTACCTTTGATCTTATTTCCGCTTGACACTCATTTTTATCAAAATTCATTTTTTAAAAATTCATTTCTCACAAAATAATTTTATGCGTAATCCAATTTTTTTTTTCTATTTTTTAATCACACATTTTCTAGAAAATCATTATTCCAAAACATATTTTCAATCACCCTCATGTTGGACTCGTTACAACTAGAGATTGTATTTTAAAAACTCGTCTAGAGATTGAAGCATTTACAAATATTGAGCCAATTAAATTTTTCGAGTCCTATAATAAACCAAATTCATAACATTCTCCATTTTTTTAGTTGAATCATATGATCTAATTCGGTTTTATACTATTGCTAAAATTACGATTTCAGAAAAATAAAAGAGAGAGAGTAAGGTCTGATCCTTTTAGGATTCATATGTAACTAACCACAAATTATGGGCTGTTTGTTTCATTCTGTAAATTCCAAGGGTATCTAAGCAATGGAAATGTTCTCCTACCCACCGTGAACAGAATAAGACTGTCCACATGCTGATTTGTCCCAATTGAACTTCAATTTAGTTTCAGCATCATTGCTTCATGACTGTCCACGATTTGATTTGTGAGGAAATTCATCAGCTTGTTTTATCGTCACACTCGACTCACGAGGCTGTGTAGGATCACGCAAAATCTAGTCATCTCAAGATTTTAAATGGTATATTCCTCTCCATTAAACTGTCTACCCTGATGTTGGCTTGAAAAGAAAGAGAATGCTATAAAGAAATCAATTGGATTGCAGACAAGAAAAAAAATTGAAATTGTTCACTATAATCTTTCACGAAGTATTAGAATTATACTTATAATGTAATAACAAGATCCCCAGTTCTTAGCTAAAAAGTTGTTAATTTCCAAAACATGGCCATTCTGTATATCTATTTCAGGATCAATATGCGTACTGGTGGTGGTACAATATCTGCCGGAAAACCTTGATAATAAGATCGTGGTAGTCGTTGCAATTGAACATTAAATAACAAGCCAGGAGTTCCTCGAGCTCGTCTTGTTGTCTAATATCTTTCTCCATGATCATCTCCATCATCGAATCTCTGAAGTCCCTTTGTGGATCAAACGAACTCTTCACCACTGCAAAGCTATCAAAAACTTTACTGCCTTCAAGTGGTTTGTCCTTTATCTCCCTTTTTGTCTTCAATCTTGTTTTTTTACCGTCTTTAGAAGCTCGGATTTTGCATTCTGTTCTTGGGGATAACTCGTTGACTCTGTGATTTTTCTTTGTATTTCTGCTATGTCGTTCCCCGCTTATGTATACAGTCTCCCTCTGCAATTCACATTTAGCCGTAGTTTCTTTAGTATTATTCTCGTCTTGCAATTTTCGCCAATCTGAACTCGATATTTTTCCAGAAGTTGCATTGTTTACCTTCTCCGAAGTCAGAGCTTCAAATGCCCAATCTTCCTCAGCTGTTCTTAATCCAGAGTCCGTGAGAGACAAATCGTCTTGCTTTCTTGTAGTCGAAGCTGCCGCCTTCTGAAAATTCTTGTTTTTGGCTTTAATTATGTTTTCTGGTTCAGTTTCAGGTATATCTTTCTCTTCATCTTTATTCGATACTCTCTCCATATCTGCCGGTTTCTCTTTCATTACTTTCTGATTCAATTTTCTTGAATTTTCTCCATTCGTGATTTCTTTTTCTTTCATCTTCTTTACGTCCAGAACCATGTCATTAAACGTCTGATTTCCTTGTCGTCTCGTCATTTCCATTTCCTTCCACTCCAAGCTATTTAAACTCGACCCAACAACTCGATCAAGTTGACGGTCCTGATCGTCAAAGTCACCCCAATAAGAATTTATATCACCTGTACTCCTCCTAGCTTCAATTCCATCTTCCCCAAACGAAAGCCTCCAATAATCATCATTATCTGCACAGTAGAATCGTCCCTCTCTCCAAGTAGAATCCAACGATGAATTATGAGACAAAAAGTCCATTTCACCCTTCTGCTTCATCTTTGCTGAATTAGCCTTTCGATTCAATTTGGAGAACCAAGAAATAGGAAACACACGAGCAAGTAAAGACTGATGAATTGGATAAGATGCAAATTTCTGTCTTCCCCACTTCATGATTATTAAGGAATCTTAATCAAGGATTGAATTTTTCTGAGATTTAGAGGTTGTAAAAGAGAGTATATAGTGAAGATGAATAATGGGAGGCTTATATTAGGGTGGTTGGTTTCATATTATTGGATCACTTTAGGCTATTTATTTCGAAAGAAATGTCCACCTTAAATCTTGTGACCACTTTCTAGTTTGTACTTCTTGCTTTGTAGAATGGCTGTTCTTCATTGAGGGGGCCAAATATATACCTTTTTATCTTCAATTCTTTTCATGTTACAAAAACATGTTTGTTACTTCTATCAGACAAATCTGAATACTCAGTAGTCAAGTGTCTAAAAACTTATTTCAGTGCAAACATGACAAGTGTCCGAGATAGCATGGTGCAAGATGTTTAGTTCATGAATGATTGAATAATTATTCAAAATATTGCTCCATTCGTGTACTTTCTTTTTTCTTATATATTGGTTAGTGTGTAAATGTGAACTACAACTCAAATACATTATAAAGTTAGCATCCAAATGATATTGTGCAGACAGCGCGACCTTATCTACTCAATATAATTAATTAGCTTCGGTAACTTGAGTCAAGTTTGAATAGTAAATCCACGTTCAATTTTAATTTATTAGCCATTTATCCTTTGTGTTTTCGCTCAAAGGATATTTAATTATATTTATTTATCCCTATGCTAATGGTATCTAAAGCAGATAAAGAGGAAAACTTTTAAGGACAATAAATTTATTTGTCGTCAGCTTTAGGACTCGTCTTTAGTTGCGTTGAAGCTTTGACATTGGTTCTATAAACTAGTGAAAAAATATCTTCTATAGTTTCTCTTTTCCCTTAGTTCACTCAATGCAGATAGCTATTAAAAGCAGTGTCCGTTGAAGGGTTGAAAGTTTTCAGCTCGTATCTTTTCTCATTGGCTTCGTGAAGTGGTGACTGTGTGGAGGATGTGCCATTAGAAATCGAGCTTGAAACCCATACCTTACTAAAAGCATTTTTAGGATGTGTGTGTTTATAAACGGATTTGTTTATAAATAGATAAAAATACGTGATATAATTTGGGTCCTACAAAATTCTGAAAGCACGAATAGATTGTCACAATAACAAATCTACAAAGCCTAAGAATCCTTTTCACAGCCTAAGTTAATTCTTCTATCGTTTTGGGCTAACATAATCAAGATAACGTTATGTTACAATTTTTTTTTTTTTTTTTCCAAAAATCAGGTGCACTTCACCTCACCCCCATACCTACACCAAAAAAAATTATGTGACCATCTCTCTATGCTCTCTCTCTATCATAGATCCGTTTAGCATTCACCACCAACTGTGCAAATTGTCACTGGATACCAACTACCCGACTACTCTACAAATTCGATTCTATTGTTTGAGAAATCGAGGAAGCGAAGCGTCTTTAATGGCGAAGGCGGAGATTAGATCTTATGTGCCGACACTATATTCACTTATCGTTATTTGGTTCGACGATAGCGACAACTCGAAAAACGACAAGGAACTGAGAGCTGGCATTGCACTCTGTGCACTTTCTTGGGGCATACCGACACGCTTAGAGAGCTCGACAGTTGCATGCAAGACGGATATGGAGTGAAGCAGAACATCGGTAACGGGTTGTGGTGTACGAATCTACGTGGTGGTGTGGTGAATGTTGTGGTGCTGGTGGTTGCTTGGTGGTGTACAGATCTATGTGGTGATGGTACGGTTGTGGTAGGTTGCGGTGTACATTTCTGTGTGGTGCTGCGATGGTGGTGGTAGTGAGGTGGCAACGACGTTGGGTATAGATTTACATGGTGATGGTGCAATGTATAGATATGCGTGATAGTAGTTGTTAGGTGGTAGTAGCATTTGCATGGTGTTGATGGTTGTGGTGGTGGTAGGATGGGGTGGGATGGGGTGGGGTGGGGTGGGATAAAGAGCAATCATGACCAATAAAATAGGTAATTTGTGACCAATAAATAAAATGTGGCTCGACGAATGTGTGATTTATGACTAAATATGTAATTGTAACAAGCAATTTGTGCCCTGTGATTATGACATTGTGACTAGTATATGAATGTAATCATAAATAATGTGTTATTATGACCTCGACCTATTTAATTAATTATTAAGTCACAAAATCGTTATTAGGTGGTCACATATTTGACTATCTGATTTTGAAATTTCGTTTCACAAGTTTCTTATTGTTGAAAGTGTATTTTAAAATCTTTGTATTTATGTATTTTTCCCTTTTTTCAAATAAAAGAAAAGAATTGGCTCATGACAAAAAGTCACAGGCTAACGGATGTGAGCCACTGATCCCAAAAAAATTATTTTATTTTCCAATCATATTATATGTTCATCATCTTTTACATTATTATTTAGATTGTATTACGTGACAAAACAACATTTAACAGTTTAAAAAAACACTTTTCCCGCTCATAATTTTTTCAAAACAAAAGAAACGTTGTTTACGAAAGTATATTTTGAATAAAACACACCGTTTCACATTTCTCGACCTCTTTTCCCGCATAGGATTTAAGCTACGCGAGCGCATAGCTTATTCTTCTTCCAAAATGTTGCAATTTGGTCATTGAACTCCATTTCACATTTCTCGACCCCTTTTCCCGCTTTTTCTTCAAACAATACTTCATTCCTTAACTTCATTCCTTAACCCCTTTACTAGAATGACATGCCCAGAGAGACAAGCCACCGCTACGATGAAGCTCGTGCTAGACTATTTCAGGACAAACCAATACAGCCAGATTTACATCCCTACTTCTCATCTTATCTTCTCTATTAAAGCATATATAGGAAGAGTGGATAAACGGTTTGAATTATTAATATATAGAAATGAGTGATAGATGAGGATCGTATTTGTGAATTTCTCAAAATATATAGATAAAAAGTAATTAAAAGTATACATAAACAGTTTATAAACATTAGGTCATGAGCTAAAAACATAGGTAAGTTACAAATTCTCGTGGTTTGTGGCTGGAGGAGTAAGTTTTTCAATTTCGTCAATCCATTATCAAGTTTGCTTGTTGCTCCAATTAATAAGATATCTTTTCCACATCCACCAAAACAACCAAGGAGGGCCCCTCCCTGTTTCCAAGACTTACCTACGAAAGAGTATTCCCGACTTAAGTTTTGCCCATTTCTTTTGACTTTCTCTTCTAGCTTTCATCAAGCCAAATTCTCTTTATCATTTCCTTTTCAACTTGACAAATTGCTAGATGTCAATTGGGCACGACGAATGTGAATTGATGATAAATTAAAAGAGATATTTTAATTTATCGATTTTGATTACATCAAAATAATTATTCAAGTCGTCAAGTATCGTGATCGAGAACTTAATGAGTCATACACAAAGAGAGAACTAGAAGAATGTGATTAACCAATTAATTAATTAATAAATGTTGGAGTATTAATTAATTGAGTTGCTTGTTAATATATTTGAATTAATTAATTCATTGATCAAATTTAATTAATTGGATTAATTAAATATTTGATCGGATTAAGTTTAATAGACAGACTAAGCCAACTTAAATTTCTATTAATAGACTGTTAGAGTTTGAAAATTCATAACACAATATTATTAGATTCTTGCTAGCACAAGAAAAGAAAATTTCAATAAAATAATATTATGCGCAAACCCAAAATTTTTCTTATTTTTTAACCACACATTCTCCGTCAATTTAATATTTCAAAATGCATTCTTACCGTAAAAATTGGAAACAAACATGCTCATAATACATTTTGTGCAGATTCCAGAATCATCAAATTTCAAAGTGAAATTCACGTTAAATGTGATAAGAGGAGGTGGTTCTAGTAGCCAATTTTACTTGATGGACATAGGTAAGTTCTGGAAAAACAATGGGCAACCATGCAATGGCGACTTTACTTCAGACATAACTCGAAAAGGACACGGCTTGTTTCCCTTACGAGGCATATCACATGTATCGTTCCCCAGGTAACGCAGCGTTCTCTGAGAACCCTAACATTGTGTGTGATCCATACAGCAATCCTCAATCTCGAGAGATACTGCAAACTTTGCCGCACCCTGTTTGAGGTGAATATGGATATCCGACAAGGACAGGGGACAGGTGGATAGGTGATCCAAGGATGTGGGAGCTCGATGTTGCGTGGCAATTGCAATCCCTTTATTTCTTCCAAGTTTCAAACCCTACTTTCTCAATTTGACAAGTCACAAGGTAGATTAGATAATGATGAATTGACGAGTTTATAGGTTTGCAGGATCCAAGAACAGTACCTGCTAGGAGGAAATGAATATCTATAGACATGGGGATTGGAATTTATAATCACCTTGCTACATTTACACACTCTCTTGCACATTTCTTTACAATCTTCAATGTGATAACATCTACATTCTGGATTTTGAACTCATCCATCACATCATTGCACAAATTTCCTCCAAATAGAAGGAAATGTCAACCAAGTTATCATGGTTGATATACATATAGCATTATTCAATTTATAAATACTCCAATCAAGTTGCAGAATGGACCGTTAGGCTCTGTTTGATTAGCCACAATTTCCATGAAAAATGGAAAATTTTTTCCATTTTCCATCTTTTGCGCTGTTTGATAGCCTAAATTTTCCACGGAAAATATTTTCCCACCCCACCCGCCACGTCAGCATTTTCCACGAAATCCTTGAAAATATTTTCCCACCATTTTGGTGGGAAAATATTTTCCGGCCGGCTGCTCAAAT